CTCTCTCTCTCTCTCTCTCTCTCTCTCTCTCTCTCTCTCTCTCTCTCTCTCTGTGTGTGTGTGTGTGTGTGTGTGTGTGTGTGTGTGTGTGCTTTATTCCTTGTCCCTCTGCTCTGTTACCTTTGCCAGCCTTCAATCAATGAATGCAGCTGGCTAAAATTGGCGACAGAATGTCCGCGCATTGTAATCAACCCTGCACCCACGTCAGGCAATCGCTATATGGGTGGGAAGTCTCACGTGCCAGATTCAGCGAACGTGGTCATCGATCTTGATGAGGCTTTTGTAAAGGGTATTGCTCCTGAAAGCTGGGCAGTTCGAGGTGTCATTGCAGCACGGGAGGAGGAGGAGAAAGGGAGGTGGGGGGAAGAGGGGGAGCAGGAGGGGGAGGAGGAGGGGGAGGGGGAGGAGGAAGACGAAGATGGGGAGAGCAGGGCAACTACCAGACGATTGTCCAGTGAGTCGAAGCACCGATCGGCACATGTGGATCGTGACCAACGGGTGATGGGGGAGCAAAAGGCACGAGCTCCGGAACAGTCATTGGCTGAGTTGACGATAGCTGAGAAGTTTCGATTGGCATATCTTGAGCGCGACGAACGGAGGGCGCCAAAGCGTGCAAAAAACAAACGCCAGAACGAGCGCCGTGCTGCACGAGCATGGATATCGACGGACCTGATGGCAAGGTCCAGGCTGATGGCTCATCTTGCAAGGAAATGATAGGAAAGAAATCCAAGGAACTTCATTTAAAGAATTTCAAATAAGGAATGAATGAATGATCGGGTTGTTGTATTCATTGTCCAAGTTCTTTTTTGACCGTCTTTCACATTCTTTGCCTTTTTTTTTTTGTTCGTTTTTGAAAGGAAAAAGAATTGAAAATTTCAGTTGTAGTGAGTGGTAGGAAGGTAGTGAAAGGTGAAATTGAGAGAATAATATATAGCTTAGTTAAAAAAAAATTAAAGATACATTCGTACCAACTTGTATAGAAATAATAAGAGTAGTAGTTTGTATAAAAAAAGGTGGGGAAAAAGAAAAGAAAAGAATAGCAGTCCGTAGGAGGACAGTCTGACATAAAAGAGCTGTTGTATGCACTCGAGTGCTTGGTTGTAAATCATGGGGAAGTGAACGGCAGGGGGACCACCAGCAGCGCTGTGATAGGTATTCCAAAGACCTGTGGATTTCATCTTTGCCATCATGCAAGCTAATTCTCATAGAAATCAAATGGAGTGTATATATATATACATGAAACGGTTTTCACCTTTTAGCAGTAGCAGATGCAGTACCCAGGGTTTGATCCCTAGACCCCAACCTTACCTGTGTACAGTACCTGTGTTGGCCCGTAGAGTTGAACCCGCGACCTGTGTATTTGTAACAGCTGATAGGTTGTCGTAGGGTCCATAGGTAGCATGGGTTCGATCTGTAGACCTGTAGGATAGGAGTCTTAGTCAGGTCTAGACGTCGTAGCTGTAGTTTTCTCGAAAGGTCAAGGTCGTAGCTGCTACAGTCCAGAAGGGTCAGAATCGTAGCTGCTACAGTCACGAAAGGCCAAGTCTACGGCCTTCCGGAAGGTCCCAGTAGTGGCCTTTCAAAGTTGCCCACGTTTAAGCATAGGCAAGTGGTCAAGTGGTGAGGCAAGTGGGCAAGTGGTAGAAGTCTACCCTGCTGAGTCAACAGTCCCAGTC